AAGTCATTCCATAAATCATGGTACCATATATGCTAACAATAATGCTCATAGTAGAAATTGAAATGCAGGAGAGCTAGGCAAAAATGGGCAGAAATATATATATATATATATATATTTTGATAAGTGAAATAATGTGCAGAATTTAGTGGTAGTGGTGACGAACAACAAATGGCAGTCAGGCACTGAAGTTTAATATGTCAAGAAATAATGATTTTCAGTTAAAGTCGGGACCTTCTTGCAAATTTATGGACTTCAAACAGATAAAAGTTTTGAATTCAATTTTCAAGTGAAGTAGGCTTACCATTACCAAAGTCCAATGCAGCTATCCGAAGAAAGAAAGCTCCAAAAAGTTTCTCCAAAGGCTGAAGTTCATCAATCCCACTTTGAAATAATTTTCTGAACTTTTTTATTTTATTTTATTTCCTTTGGTTCTTCTGCACTGGTTTCCTGTTGAAGATTGCTGAACTGTTTCTGGGCTGGTTTTAGAATTGGCCAAACAAATCTGATCCAATTCTCTTGACTGCTGTTTCTTTTCTTTTTCTGTTTCTGGATCACTGTTGTACTGGGCTGGCCTTGTTTTGAACTTGCTTCCTGGACCGGGTCAAATTGTTTTAATTGATTTGGGGCAGGTAGAATCTGGTTATAAGAGAAACCAAATCTATCATTTCCAAACCAATTTTGATTTTCAAATCTGATCTTTCCAAACCGGAAGGTATAATCCAAAGTTGACTTTCCAAATTCAGTCCCGCTGTAATTTTGGTGACAATATTGCAATAATCCAAAGTTGACTTTCCAAAATCAGTGGTGCTGAAATTTTGGTGACAATAATGATCTCAAAGATTGCAATAATCCAAAGTTGATTTCCCAAAATCAATCCCTGAATTCTGTGCTAAAGTGGCAATACCGACAATTACCAAATTTGACTTGCCAAAATCAAACACTGAATTCTTGGCTGAAGTTGCGACGCGAAAGATGGCAGCGATGATCAGAAAATCTTGGCAATGATGAGGCGATGAAATCGACGGCAAACTCTGGTGAAGACTGTTCGATGACGGGCTGATGTCAAGATGTGACAGACATTGATGAGAAAGCCAACGATGATGCACAACAGATGGAGGGCTGACGGCAAGGGATATTGGCGACAAGAGAGAACTCCGGCAATGATGATCTGTGATTTTTCACTCTAAATAAACTTGATCGTTTTGCTCTTATACCAATTGACGCAGGACAAGTAGTGCGTAAATAGTAACCAGAAAGAAAGAAGGGGATGAGAATGAGAAGATGAGATGAGACTGACGAAGGAGGTGAGAAAATAGATGAATGAGATGAGAAATTAGACTGAATGAGGTAGGCTAGAGAAACTGAGGGATTAAGAATAGCAAGAACACGAGGGAGAATGGATACAAAGAGAGCGAGTTCACAAACTCAACGATAATATTCAATATTCCAAAAACTGAGTTCTCAAATTACAAAGAAGCCTTTAAATAGGTAAATTATTAAGCAAACCCTAAAACATAAAAATACCAATATTAACCTAAAATTCAAACGTGATCAAATATAACAATAAGCATAAATAAAACCCTAAATTACTAAAATCCTTAATTTTATCTCTCTTTCCCTCTTCTCCAAAAGTAACATTGGAACACGTGCAGCTCATATGTGCGAATCACACCACGTTTCCCATCACTTGGTAAACTCCATCTACCATCAGGAATGATAAAGGGAAAATTCTCATCTTGGTAGTTCTAGGAAGAGTTAGTTCTCTATAAATTTTATGGCCTCTGCATGATATTTTGACCTTGACACCATGGATCACTAAATAGGCTTATAGAGTCACCAAGTCCCAACGGTGAATGTAGTGTTCTGCAACATGAGAAAGGGAAAATTTGATATTCTAAAAAAATAATTTTATAGTGCTAATTAGATAAACAGGTCGCGGATTTGAATTTACGTGTCAGACATCAAGGATGTTAATGTAATGTGTTGCGTAAATCTTAACACGTGTGTATTTATGCTAAACGAAGGGGAATGTTTGTGATATTTATTTTAAATTATCAAAATATCAATCAAATACGACGATTAATAGAGCATGAAATTTAAATAAAGCATCCACACAGTGAACACCAAATTTGCATCATACACTCATCGGGAAATGTTGAAATATATAAATATTTCTATATAATTGTGGAGCAAAATCCTCCACCAATCATGGTGCTCCGGTCAATTTCCTTTCAGTTATAAATATTTTTATATAACGGTGGAGCAAAATCATCCTGTTGTTGCCTCCATTAACTATTGTACACCGTCCATATATTCTTATCTTTACCATGCCTATACATAGGCTCCTTGTACTCAAGCAATATATGGATCTGAAAAATAAAAATGTAGCCCTTAGTGGCTCGTTGTCCATGGATATAGACCTTAGTGCCTAACCATGTATATGCCTGTGTTTTTCATATTTCTCTCTTCCTTTTTCCTATTTGCATTTTTTATTTCCGCAATTAATTTTAACATGGTATTAGAGCCAAGCTGTTCTTGTAATCCCATCTAGAATTTGAGGGGGAGTATTGGAATTACTATCATGGAGCATATTCTCTATGTCTTTACATTCCTTTCCCAGTGCAGTTTCGACTTTTCCCGGCGTTGTTCTGGCCATTTCCCGGCGTTGTCCCGGCTTTTTCCCATCTAGAATTTGAGGGGGAGTATTGGAATTACTATCATGGAGCATATTCTTTATGTCTTCACATTCCTTTCCCGGCGCAGTTTCGGCTTTTCCCGGCATTGTTCCGGCCATTTCCCGGCGTTGTTCCAACTTTTTTCCAGCTTAGTTCCGGCCATTTCCCGGCTTAGTTCCAGCCTTTCTCGGCGTTGTTCCGGCTTTGTTCTTAACACCTTTTCACCATCTTTCAAGGCATTTCTTTAGCAAGTTAGGCATTCATCATATTCATGCTCCAACTTGAGGGGCAGTGTTGAAATATATAAATATTTTTATATAATTGTGGAGCAATATCCTCCACCAATCATAGTGATCTAGTCAATTTCCTTCCAATTATAAATATTTCTATCTAACGGTGGAGCAAAATCCTCCACCATTCATGGTGCCTTCTTTGACTATTGTACAACTTCCATATATTCTTATCTTTACCATGCCTATATATAGGCTCCTTGTACTCGAGCAATATATAGATTTGAATAATAAAAAAGGTAGCCCTTAGTGGCTCTTTGTCCATGGAAGTAGGCCTTAGTGCCGAACCATGTATATGCCTGTATTTTCCATATTTCTCTCTTCCCTTTTCCTATTTGCATTTCTTATTTCCGCATCCAATTTTAACACATGTTAACTGCCCATCTACTCTAAAAGCTTAAACTCTTAGAGTGGGATTAAAATAAATAAATCCTTCAACAGGAAAGACCACAAGACCCAGGCTAGACAAAAACAATCCACTTTAAAGAAAATGTTCAGAACTTTAGGCATTATATTCTAAATCCCTAGAATCACTTTAGTTCTCTTCATCCAAACTCATGTCAGATATTTTACCTCAAACATTGAGTTTCTAGATCAATGAATCTTTTTCTACACGCGATTTGTTTCTTCTTTTGATGTTCTCCATAGCTCTCTAGTCTATTCGTTCTTTGATTATGTGAAAAATAGCGTTGATCTTCTTTGAAGCTTAGGATTTAATTTTTCAACACTCACAAAATATCACTCACCATCTAATGGACAAGTAATAGATGATAAAAAGAAAGAAATTATGCTCTCAGAATTGCCTATATGCTTTCTAAGATCCTAGCATCTCTTATATAAACATATTTTAGTTTTGAAGCCCTTGACAGAAAAGGAAAAATTATAGAGTTTCAAACTAATTTGGAAACTGTTACCCATAAGGTTCGGTCGATCCGGTAGGTGGTTTGATTGAACAAACTTTTACACATAATGTGTTTATTGATAGCTTGATCGATCGAAGAGCCTGTATCATTAAAAAAAAAAAATTCAGTAATTTTTTTTTTCCTTATAATGCAATATGTGATATGAACATGGTTTGCTGAACCGGCTGGATTGCAATCGGAAATGGAGGGACCGATACCGTGACTCACCGATATATCAATGAGTCCTCAAAATCACAACCCAACCAGCTGGTTCAGTGAAGAACTGGTCGGTTCTTTGAATAATGGGCTAGTTCGAACCGGCCCAACGTGTCAACATGGCCTTTATTTTAAAAAAGAAAGTTAGGTACCAGGTTTGTCATAATTAAGTTTATTTTTATTCTTTAGTTTAAAAAAAAAAAAAAAATTAAACTACTTAAAATTCATAAATCTACTTGTGTTAAATGTTCTTTAAAAAATCAATAAAAAACACTAAAATTCACTAAAAAATCATTTTTATTGGAGTATGTTATAAAAAGTTCAAGTATCAATCTATTTTAGACCATATGTGCCATCATGACTGTGATATATGATTCCGTTACGTTATGCTGATATGAGCTCGATTATGTTGCACTGCATCCGTGATTGTGAGCCATGGATATGAGCATTTAAAAATAAGAACATAATTCGTTTGATATGTGGGAGGTGATTTTAACTTTATATCCTTGTCATCTTCTCAAATTATTTCCAATTAAAACATTGGATCAAAAGGTAACAGCTAACTCTAAATAACAGAACAATTTTTTTTTTTTAAATGTATAAACCAAAATGTGAAAATTAGAAACTCCTGTTTGTAATAAAAAATTTCAATCCAATTGCTAGTGACAAGCCGATACTGAAGCTTCATGATGTTTTTCATACATTTCCACTGACCATATAGTCATAGACTAAACTGTAATACAGAATTTTGATTTGAATGCTATTCAGCTTCCATACTGTAAATTGTTTTCATTTTTATTAGGAGTTAGGACAATGAGTACATCCAGACACCACCCACTCTATAAAGACAAAATCAAAGGGTGCATCAGTGATTAATATCTCAAGATTTATTTTGGCTATTTTATGTTAATTGGTAGGTGCATGAAAAAGAATTTCTGCTCAAGGACTTGACAACAGAAGGGTTACTCAGCGAGGATAGAAGGCTAGGAGAGATTTGTTCCAAGAGAGTGTACAGAATACTAATGGCTCAAAGTGGAAGCATCAAAACCGACGACGTCGAGGATGGTGCTGATTTCTTCAATCATCAATCAACTTGAATAACACACCCTCCATTGTAGTTTTTGGTAATCATAAGGTGTGTATATGCCCCCACTGAACTCATTCATTATGATTTACACCGCTATGCTCTCTCTGTATAGTGTGAGCCACATTTCGAGTATGGTTACTTTGTATTTGGATTAACCCTAACTGGAATCAAAGTTAAACAGAATTTGGTGTTTGAAGAAGCTATGCCCCTGCAAGTTGAACTTTCCTAATGAAGGCATGATCCCTTCGATGCAAGGCAGCAGTGGAAACACTTGCCGAGTTTGGCTTGAAATCTGTCAATCACTTAGTGAAACTGTACCATTTTCCAAATTGCTGAATCATCTAGTTTCCTTGGCAACGCCATGTGGAAGCAGCTGACAGAGCCGCGCATTTCAGAGATTTGAGAATATTTTGCTGTCTTATAACCAACTTGATGATTTGAGTAATTTTTTTTTTTGGAGTCAAAACACAATAATTAAGTGGTATAAGATTATGATCATTCATGATTTTTTATTTTTATTTTTTTTCTCACAAGTTTTCGTACCATGGCTGCATTCAATGTTCTGATTATTGTTTTTATTTCGTGGCGGGGCTGCTGAGTTGGACGCCTACTGTATCCGATAGAGTTCAATGAATACCAGAGAATACAAATGCAGTGTAGTCCCATCAGGTTTGTGCAATCAATGCAATGCCCTACCACACTACACATTTGGGACTCTGCTAGATGGTGTATTGAAGCATCTTGTTTGAGTGGGTTGTGTTTGGTTGGGTTCATAAATATTGTTCTTGTTTTCCTTGAATTGTGATGGGCCTCAGCTACCAGATTTGATCACTGTTAGAAAGGCAAACAAAAATGCGTTAAATGATTTATGTGAAAGATAAGGTACAGAAGTGGGTGGAAAATTTATTACAAGTTAGCACAAAATAAATAAGGGCTAAATGCTCTCACACACCCCATTTCGACTTATTTCTCTCGTATTAAATCTCAGTCAAAATTACTCACACCCCTTATAAAAAAATATGAAAAAAGTGTTTTTATTATTATACCCTTGACTTTATTAAATCTCATGTTTGTGTCATTGCTAACAAGTGTAGTTCAAACGTGAAATAACAATATTACCCTCTATTATTTAATTGCCAAAACCAAAAAAAAAAAAAGTAAAAATAAAATCCTCAATGGCCACCACTGTGTTGTCTACCTCGGCTAACCACAAAGGTCTTTCTGGCCTTTTGGATCCTTGACTCTGGTGCCTCTATTCATGCCTCATGCTCACCCTTGCAGAAGCCTCCTGAATCTCCACTCTTTGGGTCTCACCATGGAGCTATTACCACCACTGCGCGTGTGTCGTTGACTTGCAACCGGATTCTCACTCTCCGGTGGAAATCTGGTTTCCCAATTCAGAGGTCCGATTTTAGGTGCTTTCTGGATTCCAATGTCGTTGCATTAATAGTATTTAAATAAATCTTCCCATATATATATTTGTTAATAGGTAGGGTCGTTACCATAAGAGTTTTTTTTTTTTTTTTTGGGGGGGGGGGGGGAGGGGGGGGGTTGGTGGAAGGAAACTAAAATGGATTTTTTTATAAAAAAAAAATCTATAATTCATGTTTTTTTTTTTTTGGTAAAAACCTTTGTTTCTATTTTTTTTTTGGTAAATTCTATATGAATGACTTTGTAGAAATAGTGATGACCATGGCTTATAATTTTTTTTTCCCTCCCAGGAGGTTGTGGTGTGGTGGCGGTGGTTGGGGTGACCATGGTTTGTTTTCTGCTCTTCCAGTGGTACTGTGGTTGTGGTGGTGTTTGGGTTGGCCATGGAAGGATTGTTAGGATTATTTTGGTCCACTAAAGTGGTATTATATTTACATAATACCATGGAGGGTAAATTAGGTATTATATTTTACCATTTTGAAAAGAAAAAAAAAAAGGTGTCACAGCAAGATAAACAAAATCTCATAGGGGTGTATTAGCAAAATTGGCTGAGATTTAATATAAAAGCAATAAACTGAAACATAAGGGGCTATGAGAGTATTTAATCCACTAAAGAAAAATTGACTAGAGATTTGGATCAAATTAGATGTATTAAGGGGGTGGTTGGGGAGCCCGCAGACCGTTGTCTAGAGTTTGCAGATACCACGGAACGCAAAATTTAATTTAACAATTACCAATGCTATATTCGGTAAGAAAGAAAAAATTTGGATAAAAGGGAAAGAAGAAGAGATGAATGAGATATTCTTAAATAAGATTTTTGTTTGGTTTGATGGAAGAGAAAAGAATAAACTCACAATTTTTTGTGTTCATTAGGAGAGAAGGAAATAAAGTTTTAAATTGTTTTTACCATTTTACCCATCACTATTTATAATATTATAATTTATAGAAGATAGTATTGTAATTTAAAAGTCCAGGTGAAGATTCAAGATTTCGTTTCTTCTCTCTCTCTCTCTCTAGCCTTCTCTTCACTTTCCACCCGTCATGGTCTATTTATAGGCCATGACCTTTTTTGCAGTTAACCAATTACATTGGGCTTATATCCAAAAGCTCTCTTCCTTCTGGGCTGGGTCTTGCAATGGGCTTGACCTTCCTCGGTGGACCCCCCACGTTCGGCCCATTCCAGGGTGCTTAGGCATTACATGCAAGTCTTCAGGCGGTTGGTGAATCAGTGGTCCGAACCTTTGGCACTTATCGCACCTTCTGGACAATTCTTCCGAATCTCGCGACATGTTTGGCCAGAAGTACCCTTGAGCCATTGCCTTGTGTGCTAATGATCTCCCCCCTGAGTGGTTTCCACATACGCCTTCATGAATAGCTCGTAATATTTGCCGAGCCTCTGTGGGGGTAACACACTTTAAGTACGGTCCGGAAAAAGATCTTCTGTATAACTGGTTATGCACTATGGCGTCCTTGGCAGCATTAGCTTTGATTTTCTTAGCCTCATTTCTTTGTTCAGGCAGAGTACCATCTCGGATGTAAGTTATGATCGGATTAATCCAACTTGGCTCATATGGAATAACATTCACTTGCCAAGGATCCGAGCCTGAAGGTTCTTCGAAAATGGATGGCTGATTTAATATTCCCACTGGAACCACTCTTGCTAATGTTTCTCCAGAACCCGAGGCGCTACATGCTAGCCTGTCGGCATCTTCGTTATACTCCCTTGGAATCTGAATGAATTCAATTTTTTCAAAGTTCTTCGCCTCCAGCATAACAGCAAAACGATATGCTTCCATCGTTTCATCCTTGGTTTCATACTCACCCCTCACCTGCCGAACGACTAACTGTGAGTCACTAAAAACATTTAAATTCCTAACCTTAAGTTCTTTGGCAAGCTTTATTCCTGCCAGCAACGCTTCATACTCTGCCTCATTGTTCGTGGTTGCGAATTCAAGCCGAAGCGCTTGGCTTAAGGCTGTACCTTCTGGCATCTGCAGCTTGATCCCAATGCCTGCACCCATCTGATTTGAGGATCCATCAACGAAGAGTTTCCATAAGCACTTACCAAGATCCTCCTCCACGTCCTCTGAATCACATTCTAGTAAAAAATCTGCCACCGCCTGCCCCTTGACTGCTGTTTTAGGTTCGTACGTGATATCAAATGAGCTTAACTCTATAGCCCACTTCGTCATTCTTCCGGAGAGATCCGGTTTGTGCAGGATTATTCTGATAGGGAAAGTGGTTGGAACGATAATAGGATGGGACTCAAAATAATGCCTGAGCTTTCTTTTCGCATGCACTAGCGAGAGTATCACCCGCTCTGCCTTTGAATAACGTCTTTCGGCCTCAGTCATTGTCTTGCTAACAAAAAACACTGGATATTGTTTCCCTTCTACGTAGCGGACCAGAACGTCACTTGTCGCGATGCTGGACATTCCGAGATACAAAAACAGTTTTTCGCCCGATTCTGGAGCGGACAGTACCGGAAGGTTTTGCATATATTTTTTCAGAGCAGTTAACGCTAGGCGTTGTTCATCTCCCCAAACCTGCCTGCCGTAGCTCCGAATTGTGTCAAAAAATGGTTTGCATGGATTTGACAATTTGGAAATGAAACGGCTCAGTGCAGCAATCCGTCCCGTAAGTGTTTGCACCTCTTTGATTGTCGTCGGCTCGGCATTCTTAGTCAGAGCATCTGCTTGGGCAGGGCTTGCCTCGATGCCTCTGAGATTAACCACGTGCCCTATAAATTGGCCTGAACTTACACCGAATGAGCACTTGGTCGGATTGAGCTTCATTCTATATCGCCGCAAAACATCAAACACGCCTCGAAGATGCTGCACATGATCAGCTTTCTTCTTACTCTTGACCACCATATCATCAATGTAAGCCTCCAATGTCTTCCCTATTTGTTCTTTAAAAATCTTGCTAATAAGTCTTTGGTAAGTTGCCCCGGCGTTCTTTAGTCCGAACGGCATAACTTTGTAGCAATACGTCCCGCGTTCAGTAACGAAAGAAGTTTTTTCTTCATCAGTGGGGTCCATGGGGATCTGATTATAACCCGAATAAGCATCCAAAAAGGTCAAGCGTTCATATCCAGTAGTTGCATCCACCATCTGATCAATCTTTGGCAGCGGGAAGCTATCCTTTGGACAAGCTTTGTTTAAATTGGTAAAATCAATGCATACGTGCCATTTCCCATTTTTCTTTTGCACAACGACCACATTCGATAGCCAGTCGGGGTAGTACACTTTTCTTACGAACCCCGCATCAAGCAGCTTATTAACTTCCTCGGCAATAATTCGGTTGCGCTCGGGGGCAAACCGTCGCTGTTTCTGCTTTACAGGTTTTGCATTGGGGTTAACGTTCAAGGAATGATAGGATACTGAAGGATCGATCCCGGGCATGTCTAGGTGACTCCATGCGAACACATCTGCGTTTTGAGACAAAAAATCAACTAATTCCTGCTTTTCCTCCTCAACGAGTCGCTCCCCTACTCTGGTTGTTCGTTCTGGTCGGAACTGATCGATCTACACATCAAGTAGGGGTTCTTCAGTCAAGCCTACTGGTTCCTCCTCTCCATTCTGCTTGGAGGGAGGCTCCTGTAATTGCTATCTCGGACTTACTGAACGAATGAGAGCTTTCCCCTTTCCGGCATGTTTCATCGTTACAGAGTAACATTCTTTTGCTGCAACTTGGTCTCCATGAATGTCAACCACTTTGGTTCCGTCTGGTGCCAGGCATCTCATTACCTGATGCAGAGTGGAAGGAACACCTCGAACTCTGTGGATCCACCCTCTGCCCATCAGAAGATTGTAAGAGGGATGCATTTCAACAACTACAAAGGTTTCCATCAAAACCCTCTCGGCAGCATGTACCGCTACCTCCACCGTGTCGACGGGCTCCACTCGCTTTCCATCAAACCCTACTAGTGGATTCCCGGTGGATTTCAGCTGATCCTGTTTGATCTCGAGTCGATCGAATGTATCTCTTGGCATGATGTTCGCACTACTTCCAGGGTCAATTAGAACTCTGCGCACCAAGCATTTGGCCACTATCAAACTTACGACCAGCAGGTCCTCATGAGGGA